TATCCTTAATCAGAATTATTAATCACTCAGTAGATGTTTGCTCTGACCCTGACTCTGCAAGCATTATTTATGGTTAATCATTTATGCTTCGTAATCACCATAAATTCCATCTTTTTTGTTGCATCAGTTTACTGGAAGTAGCTGCACTTTAGAGCCTCAGCAAGGCGTCTCCAACGAAATCTAATTAACCCCTGACTCAGCAAACAGGCGGTAAACAATAGCTGCATGTTTGTTAATTTAATGAAGGCCTCTACAAGAAGCCTCAGATTGGAAAACCCCTCCTTCAAACTGGAGTTTAATAAATCTCCATTTACAGCTGAAGCCCAGGAGGGGAACTGCAGGAGCTGAAATGGGAGCTCAGAGCAGAACATTTTGGGAATAAAATCTCCCAGCAGCCTCATGCTATAAACTTCAGGTCCGGATTTATCACAGAGCTTCCTCTGGTGGGTTCCCTCATGACATGTAACAAGTCTTAATGAGCCTTAGTCCTCGAGGGGGGATTAGTTTTGCTCAGGAGGTTAAATAAACGATTAAGCAGATACAGGATTGCTAATGAAGACTTACTCTGCGTCCTCCTGCCGGTTGCGGATGAAGAAGATGGTGCCGATGATGACTATGCAGATGAAGATGAGAGCACCGAGGATCGCTCCTATTACGGCACCTGTTGATGGACCTTGGATGAGTTGCCGTTCCTCTTCTTGCAGGGGACACAGAGAAGAGATGCGAATGAAACAGAGAGAAAAGAGGGAGAAGATTATCAGCAGTTCATTTAAATTTCATGTGGCTGCTACTGGCACTTTAATGTTGCTCACTTGCAAAAATTTGTTCTTTTATGTGTTTTTTCCCTTTTTTTGCAGGAGCAAGAAGATAGAATGAAAGAAGATAATTTGTTGCTGTGAGAAACATAAAACTGAAAGTGAGGAAAACATGTTAAACAAGCAGCAAACACGCAGACGCAAAAATGGCATGTGAGTAAAATGAGCCATCACAAGAAGCTGTACACGACTAAGAAAATCAAAGCCAACTTTCTATTCGGTGTCAGCAATGTATGCACCAATAAAAGGTGACACGGAAACACAGATACAAAGAAAGGGAGACATAAAGAATTCATAGAAATTCTAGTAAATGAAAGCACTTCTAAGGTCTCTGTTAGACGCCAACACTCATGAATGCTGCAAATCTTCAGCTGAGCCTCATGCTGACCTCGACATTTCCCTTCAATTAAGAGCCTGTTTATGATTTCCAGAGGGCAGTGAGGCATCAGAATTGACTGTAAAAGCCTCTCATTACCGTTCGCTCTTATTTAAAAGAAAAAAAAATGTGAGAGAGGGAGAAGAAGAGGCTGACAGCAGCTGCAAACAGCACACAATATCCAGCATGGATCGTTCTGCTCAACTGCTGACTATCACAGGGAGTTTGGCAGAAACAACAAAAGGGAGGGTTGAGCTGTTTTTCACAGGTTTTTGTTCTCCCCTTATGAAGACCTATTTCATCAGTAACACTGAAGTAAACACACACTACTGCATTTGATAAGGGGATGATAAAAGGATAATAGCCCGCACAATTTCCACTCGTTTAGCATTATGTTTAGCTGACGTTTGAGTGTTTATCTAAAAAATATATAAATAAAAAAAAACAACCTTTGTTGCTGCTGCAGCAAGAAAAAAACGGCGCTGTAAATACAGCACACAACTGCTTGACTCCTCTTTAATCGTAGCTTTTGACTGAAAACATATTTGCAACAATCACACAAATGTGTTTCCTGGGTATAAAGCCATTAGCCTCGAGTACATTGATGCAAATGATAAGGCAAAAACAACACGAATACGACACTTTTCAATGAAAAAACAAAAAATGAAACACAATAATAGACTGGTTAAATCACTTATATTTTTTGATCACTCATTAGGGTGATAAATCTATTAAAATGGCTGTAGAGGTTTCACAGGCATGAAAAAATTGTAAAAATAAAAAAGTAAATAAACGATATTATTGCTAATTATAAAAGCAAACCCCTTAATTGTAAGTTGTCCATATGATCAACCAGTGTTTGATTCTACCCATGAATAAAATAAGGATGCATTTGCTCTTCCTGGCCAGCAGGTGGCACTCGGTTCCAAGCTTATAGATACATAGATAAATAGATAGATATGGCAAGTATTTTATATTAATTGGATAAATCCAGGCCTGTGTGTGTCTTCACAGTTACCACGTCTGCCATATTGGTCACAGACAGAAGAGGTAGCAAGTCTAAGTTATGCATGATCACATACACAGTCCGAGGGAAAAGGCGAGGAAACATGAAGAAGAAATGAAGCTAGATGGGAGATGTGGGAAGGAATGAGGAAAATGAGGGGAGGCAGATGGAGGGAGGGGGAGGAGAGGGTAACACCAGCCTTACCTCATTGCTCGAACTGTAAAACCACACAAACATAAATGCAACTTCCTCTTTTCTCTTTGCATGCTCGTTTGATGTGTTCCACGGTGTTATCAGAGTTTACACTGTGGATGTTTGAAATTGATTTTTTTTTTGTGGTCAATAACAGACTGCCTTTCAATAAACAATGAGTCACGGTGGCGCACAACAGAAGCTGCGTGGAAAATATGGAAGTGGTGGGTGGGGGAATTGGCTTTTTTTTTTTTTTTTTTCTTACCGGGAGAGGCACAGAAACCTGATTGGTCAGAGATGGAGGATGTAAAACAGAGTACAGCCCTGGAGGGAAGGGAAGATGGATGGAAGAGGAAAGCAGTTTGTTTCTAGCAGGGCAGATGCAAAACTGGTCTTAATAATCTCTCAGGAAATCCACTTCTGAACAGGCAAAAATATCCTCGTCAAACCCACCTGTTGTTCTGACTGCAGGCAGAGAGGAGATGTTGAATTGCACATTGCAACAGTAAGCTTGTGTCTATCCACCTGCCTTTATGTGCAACTTCAATAGAGGCAGATAAACTGAATACAATTTCGTCTAGTTTCTTTGAGCAGCTGAATATTCAACAAAGTTTTCACGTTTAACTCTTGAAAATGTCACTGACGAGGGCAATATTTTATTTTTAGATAAATAGGGTAATAA